TTGAGTAAATTCGATACACAGGATCTTCCAGATCGAAAACCATACTGTCTGTCTGATACTATATAATTTCTCTCCAGGTGTTCTACCCATTTAGTTTTAATTATTTTTTCCAATATTTTGACTATTACACTTGTCAATGATACAGGTCTATAATTAAAGGGTCTTCCTTGCTTCCACTTTTGTAGATTGGAACTATGTTAGCCTTTTTCCACACATCAGCTACAACTCCTGTAAACAGGGATGCCTGAAAAATCAGTTGAAGTGGAATGCTGAGCTCAGGTGCACATTCTCTCAGAACCCATGGTGAAACTCCATCTGGACCAACAGCTTTGTTCTTATTTAGCTCCTTGAGCATTTTTTCCACTTCGTCTCTAGACACCTCTATGTGCTCTATGTTGTTCACTGGAATTCTTATTGTGTCTGGTTCCCTGAAGATTTTATTTTGTACAAACACACTTTGGAACTTTTCGTTTAATGTTTCACACATTTCCTTTTCATTTTCCGTGAATCTATTTCCCATTTTCAACCTCTGAATATTATCCTTTACCTGCAATTTGTTGTTTATGAATTTATAGAATAGACCTGGTTCTGTTTTACATTTGTCTGCAATCCCTTTTTCAAAATTTCTTTCTGCCTCTCTCCTCACTGCCGTGTAGTTGTTTCTCGCATCTTTGTATCGCTGGTATGTTTGGGGGTTCGGCCTCTTCCTGTATTGATTCCATTTTCGTGTCTTTTGGTCTCTGGCCCTCTCGCAATTTCTGTTAAACCAATCCTGTTTCCTAGTTCTGCATCTCTATTTTGTTACAAATTTTTTTGTGCCTTTATCATATATGTGCCCTTGTGTGTGTGTGTGTGTGTGTGTGTGTGTGTGTGTGTGTGTGTGTGTGTATGCGTGCGCGCGCACTAACCTAGATGTATTCGCCTAAATATTCTTGTATCAGCAGACTGTGGTGGGTTCCAAAGAGCAGACCCTCTGACCCACTCTTTGTCCTCTTCTCTTTGACGATACGATTCCCTTTGCTGTAAAAGAATGTAAAAGCCTGTTTGGTAGCTCTCTCTTGGATCTAATGGAGTTGAAAGACGAAGAATTGGACCGGGATGGAAGGAAAGAAAGGGGAGGGAGCAAGGGAAGGGAAGGGAAGGGGTAAGGGGAGCGCAGGGTAAGGAGGAAGTACGGTGGAGGGGGTGTGGAGGATTGAGAGGTCGGGAAGAGGTCAGAAGCTCATTTGAGTCCATCCTGTTTGATTGTTTGCCTGGGGGGAGGGGCCGAGCCGTTGCTTCTGTTGATTTAGCTGCCTGAGTGGAATGGCTTTCTCGGCCACTGCTGTTGCTGAATTACTTTTGTTGTTGGTGTCCTGAGAGTATTCCGCTCCAGTGATCCTCGATGGCTGGGAGGGTGATCTTGGGTACAGTGTGTCGTGTTGGGTACAGTGTGTCGTGTTGGGTACAGTGTGTCGTGTTGGTTACAGTGTGTCGTGTTGGGTACGGTGTGTCGTCTTGGGTACAGTGTGTCGTGTTGGGTACAGTGTGTCGTGTTGGGTACAGTGTGTCGTGTTGGGTACAGTGTGTCGTGTTGGGTACGGTGTGTCGTGTTGGGTACGGTGTGTCGTGTTGGGTACAGTGTGTCGTGTTGGGTACAGTGTGTCGTGTTGGGTACAGTGTGTCGTGTTGGGTACAGTGTGTCGTGTTGGGTACAGTGTGTCGTGTTGGGTACACTGTGTCGTGTTGGGTACAGTGTGTCGTGTTGGGTACAGTGTGTCGTGTTGGGTACAGTGTGTCGTGTTGGGTACAGTGTGTCGTGTTGGGTACAGTGTGTCGTGTTGGGTACAGTGTGTCGTGTTGGGTACAGTGTCGTGTTGGTTCTGTGATCTGGCGGCCCGGACCAGCCGGACTGCGCTGGATATATGGGCTTGCGGGCCGCTCTAAGCAACGGCCTGTTGGACCAAGCTCTTACAAAACAAGCCTGGCTCCAGGCGTGGCTTGAGGAGTGGAAGAACTTTCAGAACCCACTCCAGGTAGGGGGAGCTACTTGGTTACACAGCCTGGATGAACATCCACAACCCTTCAACATTCTTTTAGATCAAGTTATCACAAAACAAACCTGGCCCCAAGCCGGAGAGGGAGGGTTAAAAGCACCAAGCCATTGCGACTGTATAGCATTTGGCACTGGGAAGGGATCAGGATAAGGATTTGGGATGGGACGGGGGAAAGGAATGGTGCCCAACCGCTTGGACGGTCGGGGATTGAACGTCCACCTGCATGAAGCGAGACCGTCGCTCTACCGTCCAGCCCAAGTGATTGGACAGGGGGGGGGGGGGGGCAGAACTACACCAAGAACGTACGTACGTGTGTGTGTGTGTGTGTGTGTGTGTGTGTGTGTGTGTGTGTGTGTGTGTGTGTGTGTGTACTCACCTATATGTACTCACCTATATGTGCTTGCAGGATCGAGCAATGACTCTTGGATCCCGCCTTTCTAGCTATCGGTTGTTTACAGCAATGACTCCTGTCCCATTTCCCTATCATACCTAGTTTTAAAAGTATGAATAGTATTTGCTTCCACAACCTGTTCCCCAAGTGCATTCCATTTTTCTACTACTCTCACGCTAAAAGAAAACTTCCTAACATCTCTGTGACTCATCTGAGTTTCCAGTTTCCACCCATGTCCCCTCGTTCTGTTATTATTACGTGTGAACATTTCATCTATTTCCACTTTGTCAATTCCCCTGAGTATTTTATATGTCCCTATCATATCTCCTCTCTCCCTTCTTTTCTCTAGTGTCGTAAGGTTCAGTTCCTTCAGCCGCTCTTCATATCCCATCCCTCGTAGCTCTGGGACAAGCCTCGTCGCAAACCTCTGAACCTTCTCCAGTTTCTTTATGTGTTTCTTCAGGTGGGGGCTCCATGATGGCGCGGCATACTCTAAGACGGGTCTCACGTAGGCAGTGTAAAGCGCCCTAAAAGCTTCCTCATTTAGGTTTCTGAATGAAGTTCTAATTTTCGCCAGTGTAGAGTACGCTGCTGTCGTTATCCTATTTATATGTGCCTCAGGAGTTAGATTAGGTGTCACATCCACTCCCAGGTCTCTTTCTCGAATCGTTACAGGTAGGCTGTTCCCCTTCATTGTGTACTGTCCCTTTGGTCTCCTGTCACCTGATCCCATTTCCATAACTTTACATTTACTGGTGTTAAACTCCAGTAGCCATTTCCCTGACCATCTCTGCAGCCTGTTTAAGTCCTCTTGGAGGATCCTACAATCCTCGTCTGTCACAACTCTTCTCATTAATTTTGCGTCATCTGCAAAATTAATTTTGCGTCATCATCTGTGTGTGTGTGTGTGTGTGTGTGAGTGTGTGTGAGTGAGTGTGTAAGTGTGTAAGTGAGTGAAGTATCTTCACTCCATAATGGACGAACCTCCCGATGCACTGTTTACGGGCTATTCATGCCCGTGCCACCTCTTGGGGTGGCTTAATCTTCATCAATCAACCGGGTGCCCCTCAGGTTTACCCCAGAACTTAAAATTACAGAGCTATGAGACACCCGAAATCCCCCTCCCCCCCCTCCCCCAGAACCTTGGGTTACCTTGAGCTGTTTTCGGGGCTTAGTTAACCAAGTTAACTAAGTTTCGCTAAGTTAATCCAACTAAGTTGGGTCTCAGTTAACAGTTCAATCGACACAAAAGGCTTGAACCGGAACTTCCTGCGACTTAAGACCTTCCTTGGGCCAAACGGTGAAGCTTTTTTTAGTTTCTTTATTCACTTATTTATTAATATTTATTGATGGGGGGAAAGACATCTTAAAGTTGTAAAGTGAAATACCTTCGTGGACGCTGCAAACAACGACAACCTTATTGATCAAGTCATCACCACAGTAGTCCAGTCACTGCTTTGGCTGCGGGAGTACAACTCTCACAAGCTATAATAGGTTTGCGTTCAATGATAATACTGCGCGATATTACTGGTTATGTTGGGTTATATGTAAGATATTAATAGTGGTTTTGGCATGAAAGAATGAGTTTAAGCATTATATAAACGTTGAAATGTGTATTATGTGTTGTGTGTGCGCGCTCTCGCTCATCCATATATATAGCACACAGAGTTTTAAAAATGTAAATTCTAAATTCTAATTCCACATATATTTGTAGGACATCCACCTTCTATGATTATTTCATTGCTGCAATTCTCACATATTACACACACGTTCTGACAGTCTCTTCAGGTGTGTGCCTGTATGACTGTCTTCAGGTGTGTCCCTGTATGACTGTCTTGAGGTGTGTCCCTGTATGACTGTCTTGAGGTGTGTCCCTGTATGACTGTCTTGAGGTGTGTCCCTGTATGACTGTCTTGAGGTGTGTCCCTGTATGACTGTCTTGAGGTGTGTCCCTGTATGACTGTCTTGAGGTGTGTCCCTGTATGACTGTCTTGAGGTGTGTCCCTGTATGACTGTCTTGAGGTGTGTCCCTGTATGACTGTCTTGAGGTGTGTCCCTGTCTTAGGTGTGACTGTCTTGAGGTGTGTCCCTGTATGACTGTCTTGAGGTGTGTCCCTGTATGACTGTCTTGAGGTGTGTCCCTGTATGACTGTCTTGAGGTGTGTCCCTGTATGACTGTCTTGAGGTGTGTCCCTGTATGACTGTCTTGAGGTGTGTCCCTGTATGACTGTCTTGAGGTGTGTCCCTGAGACTGTCTTGAGGTGTGTCCCTGTATGACTGTCTTGAGGTGTGTCCCTGTATGACTGTCTTGAGGTGTGTCCCTGTATGACTGTCTTGAGGTGTGTCCCTGTATGACTGTCTTGAGGTGTGTCCCTGTATGACTGTCTTCAGGTGTGTCCCTGTATGACTGTCTTCAGGTGTGTCCCTGTATGACTGTCTTCAGGTGTGTGTCTTGCATGCCAGTACCTCCAAACAAGGTACTCACATCAACAGCCCACCAAACTGATAAGATATTCATATCACCAGCTGTCTGAGACATGGTCTAAGATGTTGACATTTTCTCTCTCCTACAGGTGACGGGTGTAGTAGGTCGAGCCGAAACGCTCTCCTCCCTCTTCTTCCTAGGGGCCCTGGTGGCCTACTCCGGGGCCACGGCTCGCCAGGTCCGAGGGCCCCGTGGAGCGCGGGTGGCCACTGACTGGAGACTCCTCCTGCTGGCCATGCTGTTGGCCACCACGGCCATGCTCTGTAAGGAACAGGGCATCACCGTCATCGCTATCTGCGCCGTCTACGAGCTCTTCATCGTCCAGAAG